ATATTGATTGATACGCGCAATTCGACTTATTTGATTATCCGTTAAATCAAATAGCACTAGATCGCCATTTGTTCGGTTTCAGAGATTCATCAAAAGAGATTATTCTTGGGGATCTTTATATCCCACGCACTCATTTGTCAGCAACGCGCGTTGGCCAACGAAGCTATTTTGTTTGGACGAAATTGGAGCGAAAACGGAGACCCAAAAGCAGCAAGAGTGCCGATGAGACTGCGGATTCCATGACGACGAGTCCCAACGGAAAAGTGAACCGTCCCTGCTTCAGCTCGAAGAAGATCCATCCTGAGGATTTTGAAAAAACAAGAGTCGCTCTTATGAAGAGAATGCTTGAAGCACATTCAAGGAAACTGACAACATTTGATTTACGCGATTTCCTGAGAGGACAAAATCCACGTAATTTTGTTTTTATTCTCACTGGACGAGCTTTCAGAAAACTGAGATTGCTGCATGAGGAGCTGAATTTGCAATGGTGAGATCAACTAATTGATTGTCCCGATTGATTGTCCCAATTAATGCCACATCGCCGTTGTTGATTTTTTGATCAGGTTCGGTGAACCCCAAAAGGAATCCCTCATGGCCGTTTCATCTCCGACAGCTGCATCTTCTCCCCCCGGCACCCCCAATTTAACGGCCACACTCAGTCCCGTTCACTCTCCTGATTCTGTTGATGAAAGACTTCCTCCTTCCCTCCGTTCACCGATTTGCGAGACTCCTAAGACGCAACATTCTCCCTCAGCCAACCTTGCAACCACCCCGCTCCAGAGTGTCAAGCCTCTCGAGTCTTTCTGGCGTCCTTTCGAAGAAACCGGACAGCGCGACACTTCTTTCGAAGACGACGATCGACAATCGTCTCTTTCGTCGATAAGCTCGCGCTCCAAGCGACGTACGGACACAAAGTCGGATCTCGGTTGTCTTATCGGACGCTTCCAACTGGAACCCTACGAGGACTCTGTCGCCGCGTCAATCATCTTCGGGACTCTCCAAAATCGAGAACCCCAGATGTCCGCCGTGATCCCTTCTACTCCTTGGCTTGTCCCAACTTCCTATTTCTCCGAACGAGCGTCATGGATGACTGCAAGCAGTTTGAGCTTCCAAGTGACATCGCGAACATTCGCTAAAATCCAGGAACATCTCCAAGCAAGCGCTTCCCACCGAAGAAAGAAGCCTGTTCGAAATCCTGTTGGACCTCCGCAACAAGCAATTCGAGCAGTTCAATACGGGGAAGTTTCCTCGCGGTTCCCATTCCCATCTCAAAAAATAATCACGAAAAGTCCAAAGAAAAAAGGAAAAAAAGCATCGGAGCGTATGACGTCGAACAACAAACGATTGCGTCTTCAAAGCTTCGCTGCTAGTGACCAAGTCAGTGTTAATATGAGCGCACCATTTGGGACAGGAGCTGTTCTACCAGTTGGAGGTGCAAGAACAGCGAATAGCCGGGATGTTTTCTGGCTGCTTGATACAAGTGCTGCGAATTTGGAGGGATTCCGAGTCCGAGCGATGCTTCCTCCACTCGATCGCAAACGACCCGTTTCCTTGTTCCGGACAATCGCGCGACCCTTACGTCGTTTTGGTTTTCCTGTTCCGTCAGACTCGTCGGACGAGACTAGCGACGAGGAGGATACAGGAAAGCCTGTGCGTCCCAGAAACTCTTTTGGAGCTTTTAGCGCGAAGTCTCGAGGCGGGATCACCCCCCTTGAACTTCCAACTCCGATGGTTGAAACGTCCAAGCCCACTAAAGGTTTTGCTGCATGGAGGTGGAGACACACCCCCACAGCGTCTTCATCCAAACGTTGGGAAATCCTCGAGCGTTCCGACATGGCCGACGCGCTCGAGCCACTCCTTTCTGGACAAAAGTCGGCCCGTTACAGACCGCAGCTCCCTGCCCCTTTAGAAGAGCGCGCGGAAGTTTTTGTTCAAGCGGAACAGCCGACAGCGGCGATGCAACTTGCGGACGTCTCTCATGCGGAGTCCCAAGCAATCGGACAAACTGCAACGTCCCTGCATTTTCATCCGCAGTTTGCGTTTCCGACGCGATCCTCTTACGCAGGGCCTCCGTCGACGTCGCGCCTTCCCGGTCTGTCGCAAGTTGTTCCTGAAGGCTCCCGCCTCCGTCCGGGTCCGTGGGGCGTTGCGACGTCGGAATCATCAACGGTAACGGAGGGTGTGACGCAACCACGCGCCTCCGGTATGTTTCCGGCCACGAGTCGACTTGCACACAAAGGACTGATTCCCGCCACGAACGAAGAACTGATGCTGCTTACTGTCGTCGTCGCCAAGCGACAGGTCAGCCAGAAAGCGCAACCGAACGACGGAACCAAAGAAGATAAGAAGCGGCAAGTGCCATTTCTTGGGATTCTCTCTCCGACAGATCAGCATCTGTTCCGTGATCTGTTCGTCGATCAAGAGGCCCGCGAGTGGGCGTCGACTGAAAAACAGGCGCGCGAAATCGAGGCCCTCAAAGAAGCACCGGTCTGCGTAACGCCGCGCGATAGATTTCCACGACGTCAATCAACAGACGCAGCTCTCGAAGAAAGTTTTGCCGGGAGTTTTGAAATCCAAGAAGTATCAGTTCTGAACGACGACACGGTCAATCTCACGGAAAATCGTCCCGACGACGACCGACCTTGCAGCAGCGCTGTTACCGTCGCGTCTGATGAAGAGCCAGCGTTGCTTCCCGGCGGACCCTCTAGTTCCGAGAACGAACTTGTGAGAATGTCGTTGTTCGAGTTTCTTCTGAGAAACACGCGCGTTTATGCTCGAATGTCGCCAGAAGACAAGACGTCTCTCGTAGCTTCGCTGAAGGAACTTCCCGGTGAGTCAGCAAACCATTCTAGCGCTCTTTCGGTATTGTGTTTTCTGTTTGTATAGGAGCTCCTGCTGTGGCAATGTGTGGTGATGGACCGAATGACCTCGGTGCATTGCGTGCTGCTGATGTCGGGGTGTCGCTGAGCGATGCGACTGCATCCCTCGCCGCACCATTCATAGCGACAAACAAATCTGTCCAAGGATGCGTCGATATACTGCGTGAAGGTAAGAATTTGCATAACACTCTTGCAGAATCAACCTGTAGATATAAGAGACTAGAAAGTCCGCTACGGTGTTGATGAATTGTTCCAATGATTGATGATTCTCTTAAGGTCGGGCATCGCTGGTGAAAGCCTTCCAAGTGTTCAAGTTTATAATATTTTATTCTGTCATTCAATACTCATCTGTTGTTCTTTTGTATACGTATGGGCTTAACTACACCGACTACCAGGTACACTTGATTCATCATACTCATTTATCTTTGTCATTTATCTTTTAGTACATGTGGGTCGACTTTTTCATCATTCTTCCGTTGTCTTTCGCTCTCTCGGAAACAAATGCTGTTAAGCGTCTTCGAGGTCCTCCCCCTGCCGTCAGTCTCCTTTCAAAGGCCTTCGTTGGAGGAGTTCTTATTCAGGTACACATCAGATACTCGTCCAACAAACATGCTTACATGCATGCATCTATTCTAATGCCTTTCGCAGAGTGTAATTGCCGTTTTCTTCATGGTCGTTCTTCTCATCGGAATTCAAGACACTCCAGGGTGGAGACCGTATGAAACCACCGTTGCTGCTGGTGAGAATCATTCCGTCCATTTTTTGGAACATCACATCTGCAGGCGACAGCGGAGGTTCTGAGATCGTCTCTTATGAAAACACCGCCATTTTCTTCTTGACGAATTTTCAGTATTTGATACTTTGTTTGGTTTCCACTCCTAAAGGACCTTGGAATAAAGGTAATTTATCCAGCAAGTCTGTAATGGTTGCGCTAATTTTCTGCAGGAATCATGACGAATATTCATTTTGTTGTTTGGATGATGTTTCTTCTCGTTGCGAATATTGGATTAATTTTCATCCCCCGTGCTCCAACTGTCCCCCTTCCAACTTTCGCTAATCCAGCCCCCCGATTGCTTCCCCTGCCAGTCTACCAAGACGTCGGTTGGATGAAGTATACAGCTGCGTTTCTAGATCAGTGGTTGATGCTCGCCCAACTTCCCTTCTCTGCTAAGATTTTCGTAACGCTCCTAGCGTTCCTCAATTGGTTGATTTCCTCAATTGTTGATCTAATGATTGTTGATCGTTGGTCCGAAGAAGAACGTCAAGAGCTGCGCACAACCCTTTCAACCTCTGGGGGTCCTATCCCTGCATCCACCAGATCCGTTTCTGTCTACCACGTTCTGTAGAACGTTCTGGACAAACGTATTTTCTTTAGTTTCAATTTTGTGGTAGAAAAATTCCGCGGGATTTTATCAATTTTCGTTCCGAAGACAACCACACAGTGAACACAACCACAGTCCTTAATGGCGCGAAAAACTGCGCTGCAGCGATTCAGGCGAGAATGATATAAGAGATCTTAAGCATCAAAGACTATAGAACAGAACAAGCTCGTTGAGGAATGGGGGACATTCCAGATGAGCTCGAAGGGTTTTTATGCTGCGCTCCTCGGCTTCCTACCAGCCGTGACGATTGTTTTTACTGTCCTTCAAAGCGCAATTGGATTCCTGAAAATCAACTAAAGAAGCTCAAAGCCGCGGAGAAAGCGTCACTGGAGAGTGTGCGGTTTGTTTTGCAACTCGCTCCAACAAAATTCTCAAAATGTCGAAATTGCGGGAGAGTCATCGACAAGAACGAGCTGAGACTTGGATATCCGATAAGCGTAAGTCGAAATACCATCACGATTCATTTGCGAGTGTTAGGACCCCAGAGGAGAGTTCGGAGCTTTGACGGCGTGGGTTCACATTAAATGCTCTCGAAGCGTCGTTGCAGAAGTTGGAATGTCTTTGCACGTTAGAGATGCGGTGGGAAATAAAGATCTTAAGCCTGATGCAACAATGTTGGCAGAAACGGATACAATAAAAGTAGAAATGAAGGAGGAGGGAGAGAAACTTGGAAGTATGTCAGAAAATAGAGAATGACCAGACGATAGAGAAAGACGAGAAAATCGAGAAAGACGAGAAAATGGAGAAAGACCAGACGATTGAGAATGGAAGCAGCGATGAAGGACTGATGCAGATTCTTCCTATCATTTCATTGTGGTTCCATCAATGGGGATTGATGGATCTAGAAAATCAATTGCAAATTGCTAAATATGCAACTTCTGTCGTTTCTGATGATGATCTGAAAAATGACAATAAAAATGTTTTACAAGATATTGTGAAGAGGGTTTTGACAGTTCGGTACAAGCCCCCAAGTCAATTGCTGGCTCCATTGCTGCCTTTCCAAGAAGAGGGCCTTGCGTGGATGTGTAATCAAGAAGTCTCCCCTGTTAGAGGTGAGAGCTCTCCATCTCTATTGGAGGGAGTCATTCGTGCGTCTTCTAGGCGGAATTTTAGCGGATGAGATGGGAATGGGAAAAACAATTCAAATGATTGCTCTTCTATTAACGCGTAAATACGATTCGAATCCAGTTGAGTCGTCAGCTGGATTGGAACCAGAGTTGTCGAGGACTGAAAATTCACCTCAACTGAAGGAAGAACCATCAGCTTCAGAAGACAAAATAAAAGAGTCACCAGCCGATCGAAATAATTCCTCTCCACCAGAAAGTAACGATTTGAAACTTCAACAGAATGGCGAAGAAAACGTGAGAGATTCGCTTGAAGTGACGCAAGAACGTGAAATCGTAAGGATGACGCCTCCGCGGAGTGTGGCTGAAACTTCTTCAGAGAGTCCCAAATTCAGTAAAGAATAAGGATCACGATTTCAATCCTGAAGGGCGCGGTGCGACTCTTGTTATCGCTCCCCTTGCCGCAGTTCTTCAATGGGAAACAGGAAATAGAAAGATTTTCAAAACCTGGTTCCTTACGGGTTCTTCTTTATCATGGAAGTTGCCGTGAAGCTTTATTGAAGTCCATCCATCTTTACGATGTTGTCGTCACCACTTATCCCACAGTTGAGAGCGACTACAGACGAGTTATTAACACCCATAAAGTCACCTGCAAAGTAAGACTTCAATTTGAATGACTCTTCAGGCCAACTGGGCGTTCAAAACATTGCTGCTGTACTGAACTCTGTATGTCAACACTCTCATTGTCTTCAGTATTGCGGAAGAATGTATCTTCCGGAGAAGCTGAGATTCCATCAGCGTTACTTTTGCGGTCCTGAGGCCGCTAAGACAGCTCGACAAGCAAAAACGGAAAAAAAAACAGAAAGAAACTGGTAAGCAGTGCGTTTGGGTTATAGAGCATCTGTGGGGGAATGGTGGAAGAGTGGGGCTTTAATGGAAGAGTAGCTGCATTTATGGAGCATTCTCTCATCAGCAAGGAAAGCGATGAAAACGTTGAATATCGGGGGAAGGGGAAGATCATGAGGATTCGAGCGTTAATGTTGCCGCTAAGTTGAGAAAAGGCAGTTCAATTCCCACACCGAATAATGTTTTGGGGGAAATATTGCAATCAGCAGGACGATTAGAAGACGTGAGAGCTTGTTCATGAATTGTGATTGTTTATTGCGGATTATTTTTGTTTGCTCAGTTTGAGAAAGTTAGAATGGGAGTCCCGTGGTTGGGACGAAGAAAAGCGCTTGTTTCAACCGATGAAGAGTCTGAAAAAGCAGAAGATAAAAATGCAGATGATAAAAATGAAGATGAAGACGCATCGCATCCAAGCGGTTCACGCTTGTTGAAACGTGCGACTGGAAAAAGAAAAAGGGTAAATCTCAGGGATGTGAACTTCATTCGAGTCTCTGACTTTGCTGCAGCCCGTTGAGGAATCCGTCGAAGTAAAAAAGAAAGTTCGACGTCAGGCATCTGTTGAAACGAACAACTCTGCCAATGGACTTCCTGAGGTGAGTGAGCGTCACGGAAAATTACTGCAAGCGGTTGGAAACTCTGAACTTGCGTTTTTAGGAGTTTTTGGATTCATTTTGCAAACTTATTGAGATGGGATTCGATGGAGAGGCTGCTTCAATAGCAATTCAAACTTCGAATGGGAACTTGCAGTCAGCTTTGCGAATGCTTTCCACAGGAGCAGAAGCAGAAAGGAGCCCGCCTCCAAGCTCCGAAGTCTCCGATGAAGAAGAAATGAGAAGGTCCGGGCAGCTCAAGGCTGGACCGAAGCGAAGAGCTGCGAGGGGAAAGAAGACTGAGGAGCCTTTCAAAGAGAGCTCTGAGCGCAGCGATGCGGAAGAAGGAAAAGAGCGCAATGAGGCGATGGGAAACTTCGCGAAAGAAGAAAGAAGGAAAAGGGCTGTTATTGAAAGAGCTCATACGTTGCGCGCAACATTTAATATTTCGAAAACAGAACTTGGAAAGAAAAGAGTCGCTGAGTTGCAAAAAATGTTGAAATCAATCGATGAATCGTCATTTGGAACGAAACAAGAGCTTGTTAATCGTTTGAGCTTGTTGTTGTTTCCAGTTGAAGCAGAAGAGCAGGAGAGTGATGGATCAATGGAACGTGATTCTGAAGAACGAGTGGAAAAGAGAAAACATGTTACATCAAGCGAGGGAATTGAAGGGAGAGAGAGTGGGAAGAAGAAGACCGCTTCGAAGGTTAAGGGTGCTAAAAGTCATAAGATGAGTAACGGCGTTGTGAAAAAGACTGTGAAGGGAGTGAGAAAGGTGGTTAAGGAGGCGAAACAGAAACGGAAGAGTGCAGGATCATCAATGAAACTGAAAAAAAAAGAATACAGTGAAAAATATAGATTCGGAATCAAGCGAAGTTGTTAGAAAGAGACCATTGCGTCGATGTCGAAGTGCATCAAAAGATCCGAAAGTGCGATTTGTTGGAAGTGAGAGCGACACATCAAGGAGTTCGGATAGTGATGTTGAAGAGATTGAAGTAGTGAGTTCATCTGATGATAGTGAGGTGTTAGTGATTTCAAGTTCAAGTACATCTGGCGCGACAGTTGAAGCGACAGATGAATCTGATATCATAAGTGAAGGGAAACAGAAAAAGAAAGGAAAGGAGAAAGGAAGCCAGAAAAAAGGAAAGAAGGGGGGGGGAAATCGCTCAAGTTATCAATGAAGGCAAAGACGCATTAGATGAAGAGATGGTTTATGAAGATCCATACGCAACAACAGATGAAGATGAGGGGGTCGACATGTCCTTATCACCACTTCACAGCATCACTTGGAAACGAATTGTATTGGATGAAGCTCATCGTATCAAAGGAAGGACGACGTCGACAGCAAAAGCAATTTATGCTTTGAGGGCGTCGAAGTCGAAGTGGTGTTTATCAGGAACCCCGTTGCAAAATCGAGTTGGGGAGCTGTATAGTTTGGTCAGATTCTTGAGATACGATCCCTACGCATTCTATTTCTGCTCGAAGAAGGATTGTAGATGTCGCTCGTTACATTTTCGTTTCGTCAATAATCGATATTGTGTGAAATGCGGTCATCCCCGAATGTCCCACTATTCGTATTTCAATCGTAAAATCGTTTCACCCATTCAGAAGTACGGATATCAAGGGGAAGGTCGGGAAGCAATGAAAGCCCTAAAAGAGGACATTCTGGATACAATCCTATTACGCAGGACTAAATTGGAACGTGCTGAAGATGTCAAATTGCCCTCCTTGACTGTATTGATTCGACGCGACCAGCTCAGCCAAGCTGAACGGGATTTCTATGAGAGTTTATATAAACAAACGCGGACAGAGTTCAACACTTACATTGAATCAGGGACGCTTCTTCATAACTACGCTCATATATTCGACTTATTGAGTCGATTACGTCAAGCTGTAGACCATCCGTATCTCGTGGTTTACGGAAATCTGGCTCCCACATTTTCAGGATCTACGGTCGAGATTCCAGCGCCAGGTCGAGGAAATTCGGAAGTGTGCGGATTGTGTCAAGATGACGTCGACGACCCAAACGAATTATCCGTGTCCCGCGTGCAAACACGCTTTCCACAAGACGTGCATCGCTGATTACGTCAACCAGGCGCCAGGGACTGATGGTGTTCCTCTCGGATGCCCTGTGTGCTACAGCCCTCTTACGGTAGGAGTTGAAACTGAAGCTGCTGGAAGATCGAAGAAGGCAGCAGGTTCTCAAGAGGCAGAAGAAGAAGGAAGACTCATTGGAGAGCCGGGATCGTCACCTCCTCGAGTTCCTTCTCCTCCTCGTGCGACGCGTTCAGGGAATTTTAAGCAAAATCAAAACATCAGAATTTCAATCATCGACAAAAATCGAAGCGCTTGTTCAAGAGTTGGAGTCCATTGCTGAGAAAGACTCGACGTCTAAAAGCATTGTGTTTAGTCAATACACGTCAATGTTGGAGTTGGTTGAATGGCGATTGAAGAAAGGGGGAGTTCAGTGCGCGAAACTGATTGGGTCGTTGAGTCTTACTGCAAGGTGAGTTTCCGTGATTGCGTGAAGTAGCAAGTGATGCAAAAGATTGACTGCTTCTGTGGTTTCAAGAATAAAAAGCAAACTGATGCACCAAGCTGCATCCCATTTTCTTTTTCTTTCTAACTCTTCCAGAACGAATATTCTTTATGCTTTTAACTCGGACCCGAGTTTGAAAGTCGTATTAATCAGTTTGAAGGCTGGTGGTGAAGGTTTGAACCTCCAAATCGCTGTAGGTCCATCGATCCCCATTGCCGAGTCCCCTTATTCAGCCTTCCTGCAGAACAACGTGTTTTTGTTGGATCCATGGTGGAATCCAGCTTCAGAACAGCAAGTAAGCTGCAGCTCCAACTTTATTTCAAATCTCTCCTGTTTGCTTCTTAAGGCAATTCAGCGCGCTCATCGTATTGGTCAAAATAAACCAGTTCGTGCGGTGCGTTTTATTTGCGAAGGCACAATTGAGGAGAAAATTCTTCAATTGCAAGAAAAGAAACAGCTTGTATTCGATGGAACTGTCGGAGCAAGTGCTGAATCCCTTGCTAAGTTAACATCTGAAGATTTGTGCTTCTTGTTTCGTAATTGAATGTAAAAATATTGATTCGATGTAAAACGAGTGTATGCGTTTTCTTCAATTGGTTTCGAACCGTGATAGCTCTGTTGGGAGAGCTGAAGATGGACAACTTACATCTTTTTATAGCTGAAAACTGTATGAGGATGAGTGGGTGAAAAATAGTGAAGTATCTTTTTATGTGGGGAACAGTTCATGTCCAAACAACACCCTTGTTGGTTGTGTAGTGATCGCAACATTAATGCTCCAAGCGAATAAAGCTCAGCTCTTAACACAAATCAATCTTGATACATTGAACATACGCAGATCTGAACTTCAATATTGGTCATCCTCTTTTTCGCGATTAGGAATCTTGGGATCAGTTTTATGTGGATTCGCATCGAACGTCATGATCCTGAGCGTTAAGGAATTTCCGCCGTCATCCGAATCACGGTCCTTGGTGGATGTTTCCACACTGCCTCACCTCGCTTTTATCCTGTCAACAGTTTCAGCTTTCGGTTGTAACCTTCTGCTTTTAACCGTTTGCACTGTCTGCTGGTAGGCCCCTTTAGTGAAGCAATCAATACGTTCAACCTTCAGCCTTTTTGGTCCAAATCAAGCACTTCAAGGTTATGGCGAGAAATCCATCAATCGAGTGCGTCATTCTCTCTGAAAGCTCTATTCAATCTCTCTCGCAGTCCATTCGCTTTTTTGAGCGTCAGTTTCCATCAGTACTCACCTTATTCGAATATGGGCTCCTCTCCTACTTCATATCCGGGTGTACAGCTGTCGCACATCTCTATAGAGTTGCAGAGGCTCTAGTATTGATGCTGCCTCTCCTGGTGTGTCTCAACTTGCTTCGAAGACATCTCACGAGATTGCGACGCTCTTTTGTTGCCAGAAACATGAAATCAGGAAAGTCTCGACGTCAATGGCATCTTCATGTATTTCTTCTCTGCAGGTCAGATGCAGTCCTCGATTATTAGCGATATTGGGAGTTTCGTCGCGGGAAGTTCTTCACTGTTTGGAGGTTTAAGCGATCCAGGGTTCGATGCGATGGAATTTAATACATCATTTGCAAGTGGTGCTTAAGATTCAATTGCGTGAGTTGACAATATTGCCAGGACCAAGCAAAAAATATGGTCCTTTAAATCAAATGGAGATGAAAGGGAAGCTAAAAGAGGAAACGTCTAATAAATCAGAATGAATGAATCAATTGACGAAAATTTTTGGTTCGTTATGCCTGGAAGAAGGGAAAGATAAAAGATTGCTCCAACTACTGTAGAGAGTTTACCAAACATGTTCCAATCGCCTGGCACTGTGCCTCGCAGGTTCCACAGCAAGCAGGTAGAGAACAATCGACGTCAGTGCAGAATGGACATAATCTGAAAACAGTCGTGTAAAATTGCGATCACCATTCCATTCACTCTCACCTGTCTGTGATACAATCCCCTTGATTGGCACAGTTGCCGCAGTTCGCACAACAGCCAGCAGGGCAGCCAAGGTCAGCACACTCAGCGCAGGAAAGTGTACTCGTCGTTGTTGTGGTGCTTGTTGTTGTTGTGCTTGTTGTTGTTGGTCCTGTGTTGGTAGTTGAGGTAGTTGTCGTTGTGGTGGTTGGAGCGGGGCAAGTCTCTCCACATGTGGGTCGGCAGACAGGGAAGACACAGCCTGAAGAAAAATTGAAGATTAGATAAAGTGAGGAGAACACAATGAATGCCTGGAGTTGTCTGTCATTTGCTTACTTTGATCGATGCAGAAGGGACAAACCCTGGGAACAAATTCAATCAGCAAGATGTATTCAAAAGATCACATTACCTATCAGCAGTACAATCTCCAGTGTTGGCGCAGGAAGCACAGAGAATACAACAGCCTGATGGACAGCCGAGAGCCTGGCAATTTTCGCACACTGTAGTCGTAGTTGTTGTCGTCGTAGTTGTTGTCGTCGTAGTTGTTGTCGTCGTAGTTGTTGTCGTCGTAGTTGTGGTTGTTGTTGTAGTTGTCGTTGTGGTTGTCGTAGTTGTTGTGGTTGTTGTTGTCGTGGTGGTTGTTGTCGTGGTGGTGGTTGTCGTGGTGGTTGTTGTGCTTGTAGTTGTTGTAGTTGTTGTGGTTGTTGTGGTTGTTGTTGTCGTGGTGGTGGTTGTTGTTGTTGTCGTCGTTGTTGTTGTTGTCGTCGTTGTAGTTGTAGTTGTGGTTGTTGTCGTGGTGGTTGTGGCGGTTGTAGTTGTTGTTGTGGTGGTGGTTGTCGTTGTTGTAGTTGTCGTCGTTGCGGTAGTTGTTGTGGTTGTTGTTGTCGTGGTAGTTGTAGTAGTTGTCGTCGTTGTTGTGGTTGTTGTTGTCGTGGTGGTGGTTGTCGTAGTTGTTGTCGTGGTGGTGGTTGTCGTGGTGGTGGTTGTCGTGGTGGTGGTTGTCGTAGTTGTGGTAGTTGTCGTGGTGGTGGTTGTCGTGGTGGTTGTTGTCGTGGTTGTTGTCGTGGTGGTGGTTGTCGTGGTGGTTGTTGTCGTGGTGGTTGTGGTGGTTGTTGCGGTTGTAGTTGTCGTCGTTGTAGTTGTAGTTGTGGTTGTAGTGGTAGTTGTAGTAGTTGTCGTCGTTGTTGTGGTTGTTGTTGTCGTGGTGGTGGTTGTCGTAGTTGTTGTCGTGGTGGTGGTTGTCGTGGTGGTGGTTGTCGTAGTTGTGGTAGTTGTCGTGGTGGTGGTTGTCGTGGTGGTTGTTGTCGTGGTTGTTGTCGTGGTGGTGGTTGTCGTGGTGGTTGTTGTCGTGGTGGTTGTGGTGGTTGTTGCGGTTGTAGTTGTCGTCGTTGTAGTTGTAGTTGTGGTTGTAGTGGTAGTTGTAGTAGTTGTCGTCGTTGTTGTGGTTGTTGTTGTCGTGGTGGTGGTTGTCGTAGTTGTTGTCGTGGTGGTGGTTGTGGTAGTTGTTGTCGTGGTGGTGGTTGTCGTGGTGGTTGTTGTCGTAGTTGTTGTCGTGGTGGTTGTGGCGGTTGTAGTTGTTGTTGTGGTGGTGGTTGTCGTTGTAGTAGTTGTCGTCGTTGCGGTAGTTGTTGTGGTTGTTGTCGTGGTGGTTGTGGCGGTTGTAGTTGTTGTTGTGGTGGTGGTTGTCGTTGTTGTAGTTGTCGTCGTTGCGGTAGTTGTTGTGGTTGTTGTTGTCGTGGTAGTTGTAGTAGTTGTCGTCGTTGTTGTGGTTGTTGTTGTCGTGGTGGTGGTTGTCGTGGTGGTTGTTGTCGTGGTTGTTGTCGTGGTGGTGGTTGTCGTGGTGGTTGTTGTCGTGGTGGTTGTGGTGGTTGTTGCGGTTGTAGTTGTCGTCGTTGTAGTTGTAGTTGTGGTTGTAGTGGTTGTAGTTGTTGTCGTGGTTGTCGTGGTAGTTGTTGTTGTGGTGGTGGTTGTCGTAGTTGTGGTAGTTGTTGTGGTAGTTGTCGTGGTGGTGGTTGTTGTTGTTGTCGTGGTGGTGGTTGTTGTTGTTGTCGTGGTGGTGGTTGTCGTCGTTGTAGTGGTTGTTGTTGTGGTAGTTGTAGTAGTTGTCGTTGTTGTAGTTGTCGTCGTTGTGGTTGTAGTTGTCGTCGTTGTAGTTGTCGTCGTTGTGGTAGTTCTTGTGGTGGTGGTTGTTGTGGTGGTGGTTGTTGTTGTTGTTGTCATCGTTGTTGTTGTGGTTGTAGTTGTCGTCGTTGTGGTTGTAGTTGTCGTCGTTGTGGTTGTAGTTGTCGTCGTTGTGGTTGTAGTTGTCGTCGTTGTGGTTGTAGTTGTCGTCGTTGTGGTTGTAGTTGTCGTCGTTGTGGTAGTTCTTGTGGTTGTTGTCGTCGTAGTGGTGGTTGTAGTTGTGGTGGTTGTTGTCGTGGTGGTTGTTGTGGTTGTTGTCGTCGTTGTTGTGGTTGTAGTTGTCGTCGTTGTGGTTGTAGTTGTCGTCGTTGTGGTAGTTGTTGTGGTTGTTGTGGTTGTTGTCGTCGTAGTTGTTGTGGTGGTTGTAGTAGTGGTGGTTGTAGTTGTTGTGGTTGTTGTTGTCGTGGTGGTTGTTGTGGTGGTGGTTGTTGTGGTAGTTGTTGTCGTGGTGGTTGTGGTAGTTGTAGTAGTTGTCGTTGTTGTAGTTGTCGTCGTTGTCGTTGTTGTAGTTGTCGTCGTTGTAGTGGTTGTTGTTGTGGTAGTTGTAGTAGTTGTCGTTGTTGTAGTTGTCGTCGTTGTAGTGGTTGTTGTTGTGGTAGTTGTAGTAGTTGTCGTTGTTGTAGTTGTCGTTGTTGTTGTGGTAGTAGTTGTAGTAGTTGTGGTAGTTGTTGTTGTAGTTGTTGTGGTACTCGTACTTGTAGTAGTAGTTGTCGTCGTTGTAGTTGTAGTTGTCGTCGTTGTGGTTGTAGTTGTCGTCGTTGTGGTAGTTGTTGTGGTAGTTGTTGTCGTGGTAGTTGTTGTAGTGGTTGTGGTAGTTGTTGTCGTTGTTGTTGTCTAAGATAACAACACCAGGAGAAGGGCAGCGGTGAGGCTGAACGGTAAAAACCGCAAAAGCTCGATTCTAGAGCCTTACCGTCGTCGATGATGAACTGCTTGTCGCAGTCGGGCCAAACAAGAAATTCAAGACATCTTCAAGAAGTTGTTTGAGCGTACAGGTCGCCTGTAAAATACAACCAGAAAAAATGGATGATATCACAGTCGTACTTCGAGATTCAAATAAAGATCATTGCAACGGCTGCATCACAGAAACTCCCGAAGAATGATGACTTACAGATTGTTCGCAATTCTGGGACCGATCCAAATCGAGTGCTTGGGCTTGAATCGATTGGAGCACTTCCTGGTTGATGCCGGAAATGGGAATGGCTGCTTTATATGCCAGTTGATTAATTCCTGCGGAGTTCACGGGGAAGGATTGCCCGTTGCAAAGCAGCCCAAATGAAAGCAATAAGCAAATGAAAACATTCATCTTTTTGATAAACTGATTCATTGTTGATTTCCGATCAATTCAGAGACCAAAAATCAAATGACGAAAGATTTTTCCAACTCGTTTCGTTCCTATTCGTGTTTGTCGGTCTGAAAAGGTTGTCTCCAAGAAGAAACAAGCGT